TTGAAAAAAGGAAGAAAAAGAAAAAAGAAAAGAAAAGGAAAAAAAAAGATCGAAAAAAGAAAAGGACAAAAAGAAACAAATGAAAAGAGAAAAAGAAATGAAAGAATAAAATCAAATGAAGAAGAAATTCGAAGGAACAACAACAAGAAGGAGAACGGTTTAAAAATCCAAGCTCACCTAAGGAGCAGTCATTTCCTTGAAGGAGTGAAGGTGGAAAGGAGAGGGGGCACTGAGGAGTGAGTTATAGGGGAGGGGGGCCGACGGGAGTTAGGGGAAAAGATTTGATGGTAGAGTTTTAAGTGAACGAAGTGAACATGGCCAGGCGACTTTAAAAAGAGGCAAAAGTACTTACTTGAAAGACGTAAAACGAAAGGTAGATGAAGTGAGAGAAAAAAAGGAAAGAAAAGTCGAGTGAGAGAGAAAGAGAGAGAGAGAGAGAGAGAGAGAGAGAGAGAAAAAAAAAAGGAAAAATTTTTCATGAGGCTTTTCAGTAACCGGAAGGATGGAATACGTATACTTTAGTGAAATTGAACGAAAAGGAGTAAAGGGAATAAGGCTGGTTAAAGGTACATATATATATATATATATATAAAGGAATAGAGAATATGTGATGGATGTAACGAACGCAACGTAATATCGTATTTGCTCTTAAGAATGTGGCATTTAAAACAGTGATTGTAAGTTTCTGACCATGGAATGCTTTTACTAGTATCAACTATCTCTCTCTCTCTCTCTCTCTCTCTCTCTCTCTCTATTTCAACCATGAACGAAGAGGTTTACTTCTCGGTTAGAGAATCACCAGAATTCAAACATTTTTGATATATGTACTATCTGTTCTTTCTCTTTTTTGCTATTTGTATCCCATATATATTTTATATTTATATATGTATATGTGTGTGTGTGTGTGTGTGTGTATATATATGTATATCTATCTGTGTATGCTGTGTGCGATTCGTCGAAGCTATGTTACCAAGCTACAAACTACAAGCTCGTTTGTCCTGTAAACAAAAGAAACGTAATATCATGTGGAACGTTATATATATATATACATATATATATATATATATATATATATATATATATATATATAGATCGTACAAGTACATATGTAAAATTCAAAAGCCGAATAACGCGAATCTTCTCAATGTTCTGTTCAAATATTCAACATTTTCGACGTAAGTTCGATCGAGAATACAATTGCGATTGAAATAAACGAATTCAATTTGGTTCATCTAACTCGAAGAGGAAAGTGAATTTAATCGGTAATTCAGTCCTAATACAGAGAGTTGTTTAGTAGTTTACCCAGTTGTTCGCAAATGGAACTATATCTAGTTATACATAGTATAATATATATATATATATATATATATGTGTGTGTATGTGTACGTGTGCGTAGATATATACATACATGTTTATATGCCTGATTTTCAATGCGTATTATCCGGCATAATATCTATATATTTTGGAAAATATATTCACGTGAATATGGAGAAACAACGTGAGCACTTGCGTAACTATGTCCTATCGTTACTAAACTTCTCGTCGTATTGTTTATCGATATATCGCAAAAAAGGATATTTCAATTATAAACAGAGATAAAAAGGTTACAACATATTAACGAGTTTAAGGATAAACGTTAAAACGTGTAAATAATTCCAAAAATCGATACAATTCTGCAATACGATATATTAAATACAAATAAACAAAACGTAATGACATATAAGATAGGAATAAAAGATTTTTCTTTTTTTCTTTTTTTTTTCTTTTTTTTCTTTTTCCAAGCTAACAATTAATAATCAATTTTTATTTACCTTTTATCGAGCGATGTTTTTTTTTTTTTTTTTTTTTTTTTTTTTTTTTGAAACGAATTCGTCGTCGTCGTTGTTGTCATTGTCGTAATCTGTCGTTGTTTCTTCTCTCTGTCGTGTTTCTATTAATTTTCTTTTCTTATCTTATCACAAATTTGTAAAAAATAATTTGAAGAATGAAAAACTTTTGGTCCATCCATAGAAACATTTCTATGTCGTCTTAACCATGTAGTACGAATGGCCATGAGGTGACGTTCCTTTCGTAGAATATCTTGTACCTGTATAATATCAGAGACATTGATTTAATACCCGATGGAAGTTGGAAGGTGCCTTGGATATGTAACCCAGGTGGAAGCATCGTAAAGACGATACCATAAACTGTAACGTCAGGAATGAACGAATGGCCATGAGATAGGTGAAACCTGAAGGGACAGGAAGGAAGGAAGGAAGGAAGGAAGGAAGGAAGGAAGGAACCAAAATCTGATCGTAAAATCTCCGCTACTTCAAAACGTGTAGATTTAAATACGAGAATATATTTTATAAAAATATATATATATATATATATATGTATTAAATAAATAAATAATAATTATCAAACAAACAATCGAAATGAGTCTCCTTCGTTTACATTAAAATAGATTCGCAGACATCATAACATAGTAGATATATAAAAAAATAAATAAATATTTAATATATATGTATTTAATGTACATACATATATATATATATATATATATATATATATATATACGATTACTTATACGATGCTCCACATTCGATATATTCATATTTACAATATACATAATTACGATGTATTATTATAAAGTATAATATTAAATACATGAGATAATTTAATAGTCATCTTAGTTATATTAATATATATATATATATATATATATATATAAAAATCGAGAAATATAATGGATCATTTATTGGAATGTTTTACTTTTTTTCCTTTTACCTTTCTCAATTCTCTTATAATTTTCTTCTACGATCTCTAAATGAGAATGAAATTAAAATGATTGATCTGACGAAAAAAAAAAGAAAAAAAAAAAAAAAAGTAATCGAAAAAGTATAATTAGTGAACGTTAATTCTTACGATTGGATAATTACTACGTGACACGATATCGTTGAGATTATAAGTCGTTAAAAAACTTATTATAATAATTTAATATTAACGATACTAACGATGATTTAAGACGGGAGGACGATGGCACGTAGAGATGTTACCTTTTCGAAGTCACATTGAATACTGTCGAAGGGAAAGCTTGTCGAAGCACGTTCGTCTCGTTATCACTCTAATGTAAACAAAAGAAGGTCGACGTTAAGTACCAAACAATTGCGTCGTCACGAGTCTCCCCGATGAATCATACTGTTAGGAATTACTAAACAATAAATGTATGTGTGTGTGTGTGTGTGTGTGTGTATGTGTATAGAAAATTGTTGACCTTCATATTACCCAAAACATTATAATATTGTTCGATAAATGAAACATTTAATTTATCATAATATTTTTCCATATATATATATATATATATATATATGTTTTAACAAAAATATTTCATTATTTATGAATTTATACGTTTGTATTATTGTATAATATTTATATTATTATTTAAATTGAAATTTATAAAACGAGTTCAAATAATTTTTTTAATAAAATAAATAGTTATAATTTATATATATATATATATAATAATTTTTAATTTACAATATGGTTATGATTTATATTAATAGAATATAAAATTAATTCAATAAAAATAGCAGACATATAACAATAATTATATAATTATATATATATATATATATATATATATATAATTTTATTCAAATTAAGAGCTAAATTATACCGATATAATTATCTAATTTCGATTTAACACGTAATATATATACATATATATATATATTTATATATATATATATATATATATATATATATGTATGTATAATTTCTCAATGAATAAAACGTTCCCTTCATAAAAAGAAGATTGCGAGGCACGTCACGCAGATAACATATTCCAAGTATCGATCACATAAAATAGTACACGCTGGAAGCCCGACGAAATTCTTAGAAAGTACCGCCTAGCTAAACGTCGGCCTACTTTTCGTTGCACGAAGTGTATCATTGACTCGAATCATTCTTTTTATAGACTTTGCGGATATTTAATTGTTAAATTAAAACAAAATAAAAAATACATGTTGTTCTATATATAATATATATACATACACACACACACACACACAAAGACAAACATATACATACACGGATATATACGTATATCTGTTTATCAAATAATTTTACACGTTTTTTTGTGGTTAACTCGGTTTTCTTACTACTAACTATATCCTATCGAATCGTACGGAAAAGTCGATAGGAGGAACATCGAAACGTACCAAGTAACTTTACTTTGTACATCAGAATCGATCGATACAAAGTAGATTACGTACTATTTCCTAGTAATAAACGTAACTCAGTTATCGGATGTTTTCTCGCACGTTGCTTCGCGCAAACAAGGCAAAAACGAAAAAAGAAGAAAAAAAAAGAAAGAGAGAAAGAAAGAAAGAAAGAGAGAGAGAGAGAGAAAGAGAGAGAGAGAGAGAAAAAAAATACACTCCCCAATAGAGAGCATTTTCTAAACTAATTTACTTAACTAAAGGATGTAGAAAAATAAATAAATAAAAAAAAAAAAAAAAAAGATAAAAATAAAAAAAAAATCAATAAAAAACGCGTACGAGAGTAGACTAGTATTACCGAAACGCTGAAATTCGAATCCGTTTGACGTTATCGATCGAAAATATTTATTCTCTTTTTTTTTTTTCTTTTTTTTTTTTTTTTAAATCTGAGTAGTATACATACGTTCATCGTGACAAGGCTATTCGTTTCTTCTCGTATTCGTATATACGTATGTATGTGTGCGTACACGTGCGTGCGTACACGTGCGTGTATGTTAATGCGTGTGTCTATGTATATGCGTATATGATAGAAGGGTTTTTGAAAAAATATTGCATTTTTCATTCCATCACCCGTCAGGAATTTCATTCTGCGGTCAACCAGTAGAACGATTTGTATACAACAACTCGACACGTACAATACAGTGATAAAGGTAACTGACATTATATTGCATCTAACAAATGGAAGAAGAAATATCGTGGTTATAGAGATTGTTGTTGTTAAATCTTGAGCCACGAACGGACAAGGCACTACTGGTGACGAATAGATAGGTACATAGATATCTATACAGAAAGAGACAGAGACAGAGAGACAGAGAGAGAGAGAGAGAGAGAGAGAGAGAGAGAGAGAGAGAGAGGGAGAGAGAGAGAGAAAAAGAGAGTAACTGAGAAGCTGAAAAGTCTTTCTGAAGGTCACCAGGATATATTTTCAACCACACGTATTGTCAAATAGAAAGTCTGAAAGAAAGCTAAAGGAACTGAGTATGTTTCATTGGTTTAGGACATAGGTACCTGCTAGGCCACCTCACAGAGGTATATGAGAGTTATATGGGTCTGCCGCATGAGACGTCTGAATCGCGTGGGATCACTTACCGCACGATTTCAAAAGGATTTTACGAAAGGTACAGGATTAAGAGCACCGATCTCGTCACAAGAAAAAAAATCTTACGAAGGAAACACTATTACCTCTATCAAATATTTTCCATATGGAAAATTTTCAATGATCCGGAATGATTTTATATACCCGTCGTCGTTGTTTCTTTTCAACTACGACGACGTCGTCATCTATACTTCGAATGTCAGATAAAAGATAGATTGGATTTCTTTTTTTTTTTCTGTTTTTTCTTTCTGTTTTTTTTTTCTGTTTTTTTTTTTTTTTTTTTTTTTTTTTTTTTTCACGAAAACCAACAACGAATATTTTCATGACAATTTCTTCTCTATAAATAAATGTTTCGTCGAAAAGTTTCGTCAATTCTTCGATGTCTAATAATTTGCTTTCTTTTTTTTGTTTTTGGTTTTCTTTTTTTTTTTTTCTTGTTTTTTTTTTTTTTTTTTTTTTTTTTTTATTTTTTTCGTTCATTTTGATCTCTCCTATCTTATCTGTCAATTGGAAAAGTTCGAAGAACAGGTAATTTTTGTTGATCAATTTTTATTTCAAAAACTTTTTGACAGATTACTTGTAACGAATTAACAACTAAATTAGGAAAATTTTAATGAGTAAATTTTTAATAGCTAATTCGTAATTACGGAAAATATCTGGTTGGATATAATTTTCATTAAAGTTTCATGTAAAATATACGATAGGTGCACGGGAGCATAGGTTAATAACGAATACAAATTAATAATAATAATAATAATAATAATAATAATAATAATAACAATAATAATGTTCATGAAATAAAGAAAAAGAGAAAAACAAAATTACGAACAAAAATAATATGTAATAAATATTTCTAATGTAATGGGAGAGAGCGGGCTTACATCCCCTTACGTATGAGAACAAATTGATGTTGACGAGCATGTGAAAATTAATTATGTCCTTATGATCATTGACCTTTGACCTTAGAAGAAAAAAAAAATTAAGATTTAATTTACGAATTGAAAAGAAAAGAAAGAAAAAAAAAATAAATAAATAAATAAAAAGAAAAGAAAAGCAAATGTATTGATATGAATATATTAAATTACAAATTTGTCTTTAAAAAGTGATAATAAATAAATATTTTTGTTTTTGGTTTTGTTTCCGTATAATCAAACGGATGCATGCGTTTGCATTTAACGTTTGGATATTTATCACTAGATACCTACATGAAGTATCCTCCTCCGGTCGGAAGATAAAAGCCGGACACTGGGACGAGTCGGATAGGTGGTCGTTCGTCGGGCATAGATATCGTTCTGAAACTTCCGTTCACGGATCGACGACAAACCCTCTCTCACTCTCTCATCCCCTTTTACCACCCTTGAGATCTTTCGATAAGATTACCGGATGCACGCGCACAAGCCAAAGTTCGATCATAAAACCATATATGCGTTTATGTCGTCGCCTCCTAGTGTGAATCATTTTTTATGAGAATCAATACGACATTTCATTTGATTAATTAAATCTTCGATTAGAACAAAATCAATGCAATAATCAATATACGTAAGTATTACAAATAAATGTTCTTTATTATATATATATATATATATATATATATATATATATATAAATAAACGATTAACAAATTATAACTTTTAAATTGTTTCACATTTACATAATTAATTTTTCTATATTTTATAATAATCCTTATTGATGCAATTTGGAAGCATAATTTTTACGCCGTGAAAATTATCGTAGAATAATTTGAATTGAGTGTTAATACAAAGGGAGCGAGGGGAGGGGCGAGGGAGATGAGAAAAATAAAAAGATACAAGATGGATATAGATTACCAATTTTGTTCTTGTTTTTTCTTGTCTCTTTGTTCTCTTTTTGCCTGCTTTCTTTCTCTTTTTTCCTTTGCTTTAATATTTTCTTCTTCTTCTTCTTTTTTTGTTTTTATATATATATATATTTTTCCCCCCTCCCCCTAGAAATTCTCAGACAGATCATGTCTATGGAGAGTCACATCGAAAGGAAATAATGTGACGTAGACTTGAACAAATTGCTATTTCAATATAGCCACAGGAACGATCTTTTCTCTCGCTATATATATATATATATACACATACATATATATATATATCTGCGAGGAATTCGATTTCTGAGTCGCGAGCGTGTTACGTTATTGGATATGTGACTGTGGACGGCTATAGCGGCCCCTTTTGCAACGATTGTGACGAGAAAGGAAGCTGGTGGTTCGTAAGTTCGTGTGCGACAATAAGAACGAACCGAAAGACGTGGATAGAGTGCACAAGTGGCGAACGACAATACTTTACTCGAAGCTGCTAGTATACACACACACACACACACACACACACATGTGTGTTAGGTTGGTTGCTGTTCCCTCACCGCTTGATACTTGCGAGAAGTCATAGAAACTTTTTTTACGTCCCACTGCTCTCCTCCAAAGACGATCAAAGTAAGACGGGTCGGAGGTTACTTATTTCGCGTCCGTCTAGAATTCTACCGATTCCGTTGGCTTATGTCACGTGGAACGTGAGCGCATTTCGCGTTTCCGTTTCGATACAAACGTTACTCGAGATTAAATGTATCTTATAAAGAGAAGACAAGTGGACGAGCGAAGGGAAAAAAAAAAGAAAATGAGGGGAAAAAAGTAGAAGAAGAAGAAGAAGAAGAAGAAGAGAAGAAAAAAAAAGGAAAGAAAAGAAAGGGTAGAAGAAATTTCTACTTTAAGTTCTATCTTAAGTTAATTGATTAAAATTCACGGCTATCATAAAATTTTCCTCTTCTTTCGATTTATCTCATATTTTAAAAAGAATATAATTCGGGATAATTCTTATGTGTGCTAATAGTTTTATATAAAATAAAGAAAAAGGAAAAAAGGACAAAAGGTTCATTCGCCAAAGTGTAGAAAAATTATTGTTTAATAACAATAATTAAATGACAGATTAAATATAATCTGACGTATTTATTTCGATATACATCGGTATATTTTACTTCGATATAACTTCAATAATAGAAAATATATATATATATAATTATATAATTATATAACAATGTAATAATAATAATAATAATAATAATAATAATAATAATAATAATAATAATAATAATAATAATAATAATAATATAATAATAATATTGACGTATACGTGTATATAATTACGAACTTTATAAAAATCCGATAAAACACGATGAATCATTATTTTAATATTTCGCAACGCAAACTCCGAATGCATAAAGCATATAACTCATCTTCGTTCACGTGAACTTAAGGATATTATCTAAAGGAAAAAAAAAAGAAAAAAAAAAGAAGAAGAAGAAGAAAGAAAGAAAGAAAGAAAGAAAGAAAGAAAGAAAGGAAGAAAGGAAGAAAAAGCTATATAAAAGCTATCGATTCGATTCTATCGAATTATATAACGAAGTAGTACCTTTATGATACATGTATATCTCTTTGACAGGAAATAAATTTACCATCTTTAAAGGAGACACCGTTTGTGAAGTAACTCGCGACGATGACGTCTAACGAGCTACGAACTCAAAAGAAATGAAAAGAAGGAAGAAAATGAAGACGAAGACGAAAGCGAGAACGAAGAAGGAAAAAAAGAAGAAGAAGAAGAAGTAAAAGCAGAAGAAGAAGAAGAAGAAGAAGAAGAAGAAGAAGGAGTAGAGAAGAAATAGTAAAAGGACAAAAAGAAAAGAGAAGGAAGAAAAAGAAAAAGAAATAGTAAAAAAAGGAAAAGAAAAAGAAAAAGAAGAAGTGAGAGGAGAAAGAAGCACGTGACGAAGTAAAGAGGAAGATATATATGTATAAAAAGAGAGAGAGAGAGAGAGAGAGAGAGAAAAAAGAAGAAGAGGGTTGGAAAGAGAAGGTGCCCGTGGGAATGAGTAAAAGAGTAAGGGATGTAGGGAGAAGGGATGGAAGCTGAAGCTCATGACGTTTTCCTAAGTAGAGTATCGAAAGCCATCTCTCACAAAGATTTCCTTTCCATATTGCTTAAGTACTTTTCTATGATATACGATAAAAAGCCATTTTCACTTGTCTGTATGTATGTATATATATATATATATATATATATATATATATATATACCTATTACTAATATTTCATCTTTTACATGCATATTCATTTATTTCAGAATCCTTATCTGGAAATTATTCGATCTATCAAATACAGTCGTATTCCACGCGTTATCGAGTTAATACCACTATTATCTATTTCTCATTTATTTCTCTCTCTCTCTCTCTCTCTCTCTCTCTTTTCTCTTTTTCTCTTATACATCTCATACTATAATACGTTCCATGAATGCTTGCGATTCCTTCAGGAGTCGGATTACTTTCAGAAACATCTCCCTCTCTCTCTCACTCTCTCTCACTCTCTCTCTCTCTCTCTCTCTCTCTCTCTCTCTCTCTCTCTCTGTCTCTTTTTCTCTCTTTTTCTCCCTATGAGAAAGTAACACGAAATAGTTTTCACGATCGTCCTTATCCGGTATTATTTATCGTAAAACCTTGCAATGGGAAAGTTTTCTTCGAAGTATACTGAAACTACAAGATGTGGGATGGGTTTAGAGGGTGGACTAAAAAAGAAAGAAAGAGAGAGAGAAAGGGAGAGAAGGAGGGAGAGCTATCGATCTCTACTCTGACT